TCCTGTCAACGGAAAATAATTATGTACGTCATTACACAAAATACCGGCTAACACGAGACCAAATAAATAAACATCCTAAAGTATCTTTAAGAAGATACTTCGCAAAGTATCTTTAAGTTTTATAAAGTATTAATCCAAAAACGGAAACTTTTGAGATAATAAATGTGATTTAAATATCCATCCGCCCGATATTAGCGTCTGCTTATGCTAGCTCAAACAGAAGCTAGTCAGTTAGCTCAGAAAGATGCTACCCGGCTAGCTAGCTTAATCTTTACTTGTTAACTTGTTCAAATTGAATAAAATATAAAAGTTGTGTACTGTGATGCAAATAAAGTTCCTCACTAACTCGAATTTAGCCTGTTTTTATGTTGCTGTTGAACTTTACATACTTTATTTCTCCAGTCATTAAATATTTTTGTTCCTTCACAACAGTTAGTTCTTTTCAGTCAAAATTTGAGTTGTGATTTTGCTTTGAAATTTTTATGAAAACATTTGTTAAACCACATTAATATCTATTTAATTAATTGGCACATAGAGGTTGTTTCCCAGGCTTGTAAATTTGAATATTATATGATATTATATATATTTTTATATATTGAAATATTGGTGGCATTTGTGGACCATCTAATGGATTAGAAAGTAGAATTTGGTGAACCATGGCCCCCAAAAAAGCAACTTTGAATGAAAATGAAATTAAACTTTTGTAAAGATTATTGTGAACATTGTTTCCTATATTTTTTAGAGGTTAGTATCAGGCACAGGTTACATGCAAACAAAGTAAACGTGTTTAATCAGGGCAGAGCTGCTCGTTCCAGCTTTAAACTGAGTTTTAATTTAGGTGGATTTACTTTTTGTTTTGGGACACAATGTTTATCCAGTGACATGCTTAGATTTAAAGATGGTTTATCTGAGAAAAATGTCCTTAACCTCCTGAAAAACCTAAAGAAAAAGGCATTTCCAAAGGTAATATAAGCTCTTCCTGGAGCATGTTTGAGGTCTGTTTTCGTAGATTTTGTCCTCCAGCAACCAGAATCTGAGTCAGTGCTTCTGTCTCTTTGAGCTTAAATGGGCTGAAAGAGAAGCATTTTCCTCATTTTCATCCCAAAATATTTGACTTTTCTTTTCAATGTGGTGGTATTCACTGCTCATATGTGGAATACGTTCAAATATTTTCCAGGAATTAATGAAATTTGAGAAAAAC